ACTTTATTTTCATTATTTCCTTTATTACCTTATTGTCTTATATACCCAAGGATTTCATATATTTAATTTGTTTGAAGGCATTTAAATATATAACCCCTCACATAATGTAACAAGTTGCATTTGCTTCCCCAGAGCAGGAATGTCATCAGCCTATGTGACTATTTAAGCAATACCATCATATTCTAACATATATGTTCTAATCTACTTTTGTAATTGTTCTCAGAACCAATTTCTAAGCCTTGCAAGAAAATCAATTTCATTACTTGATAGTCTCAATTTCAGTTTGTTCCAAAAAGTTTTGATTCTTTCTAGAAATTCTTCAATTCTGAAAGGATGAGACTATCATGTGGATACCTGGGTCGAAGGCAGATGCTTAACTGACTGAGCCACTCAGGCATCCCTTTAGATGTAGTTCTTTAAAACCAATTCCCAAAAGGAATTTAAAAAATTATTTGGGTGATGCATAGCTCCCCATGGTGGCCACTTAAAAGAGAGCTCATTTGAATGTGTAAATTCTGGTGTGTATGTGTGTGTGTGTGTTCTGATCTGTATACATATAGACATAACGTGTGTGTGTGTGTGTATATATATATTAGTTTTAAAAAATTCCCTCATTAGAGCTTATATCATAAATATCAACTAACTACTACTGTATATCAGAAATTTCAAAATTTTAGAAAAGAAATTTATTCTGGGGATGAGGGAGACAGGAAAGAATTCTTGAAGGAAATATATTTGAGTAGTCCATGGGGCTCTGGCCTGGGAGATAGCCTTAGGCTATAGCATAGCATTTCCTGGAATGCAGTTGTATGTGGAAAGCAGTGGAGGTGAGATGGGTGGTCAAATGCGTTGGGAAAACATTTGTTAGGGAAAAAAATGTTTACATTCCCAACTCATTTGATAATGGATCACCGTTATTTTCTTTATATAACTTCTGGTAATACTCTAATTTCCCATGTAAATAAAACTGTGCTATTTAGGTGATGATTATGATGATGGGAGCATCCCTCATAGTTCTTTCAGTAAACACACATTTTTGTATGTGTGTGCCTTGAACAGTTTCTTGTGTTTTTACTCAGTTTAACATCTACAAGTTGTATGATTATGGAAAGTTATTTAAAATCTCTGAGCCTCAATCTCCTTTTTTGTAAAACAGGCATAGCATAACACCTATTCATAAGGTTGCTGAGAGGATTAAATGAGTCAGTCCCTGCAAAGTGCTTGGAATCATGTTCAGTTGCTCAGTAATGGCATCATTTTGGCAATTCCCTAGGCCCGTGAGAAAGCATTGATATTTCCAGTAGTGTCAACCTTTCCTTTTGGAAGTTTCCAGTTACAGGAATGCATGTAAATGAGCACACAGTGCTGTAAATAAAGGTATGTTTTTATACAATGAACACTAAATAAACTCTCAGAGCACCATGTGCATTACAATAGTTTGTGTTTAGGGGTGCCAGGGTGGCTCAGTGGGTTGAGGTTCTGACTCTTGGTTTCAGTTCAGGTCGTGATCTCAGGGTCCTGATCTTGGGATGGTCCTGTGTGGGGCTCCGTGCTCAGTGGGAAGTCTGCTTGAGATTCTTTCTCTCCCTCTCCCCCTGCTCGCACGCGTGCTCTCTCATTCTCTCTCTAAAATAAATAAATAAATGTTTTTTAAAAATTAGCTTTAAAAAAACAAACAAAAAACCCAATAGTTTGTGTTTAGAGAGCCCTTCTAAATTTAAAAAAAGTAGGCAGGGCCAAAAAACGAATACACAGTATGTGTCTGTCCCCCAGAGGACAACTACCTTTTTGTTTCTGTGTTGCTTTTCATGGGTTAAAAAAAAAAATACACAAACTCCTCATCTCTGGAGGACCATTTATTATATAAGAAAAAAAAATTTATATGGGCATTATTCTTGGTATGCAAATGTAAAGCACTTGGGAATTATAAAAAGATGCCTCAATACATATTACTGATCTGTCCATTATTAAGAAGATAGTTGTTCTGGTTTCTTGAACTTATAGAGTTGTGAAGAATATGGTCTTTGTAATTTGGCTTTTGTGTATGTTCAGAAAAGTCCCTGAGGTTTCTTGGCAACCATAATCCCATCCTAACCTTCCAAAAAAACACACTTCATCAGCTATGCAGTCAGAAAGATTTATTAGGTATTTGGACTCTTTTGTATCTAACTTTAATCAGGAAAAAACAAGTAGAAAATGAGTATATATATATATATATATATGGTATGTAATCAAATGTACAACTCTATCATCTTTAGAACCTCCACTGTTATGGATCTAAGGTTAAAATAAGATCACTGAGAAATGATTGTGAAAGCATTCTATAAATGCTGAAACATTATGAAAATACGTTTGCTAGTAGCAACAATAATAAATTGGTGTGTGGGATATTCATACTTAGGTCTATAATTTTAGTTATTTTATGTCTCAAAGGAGAGACCAACCCCAGTCAATATTTTCACCAACAGGTATCAATAAGTCAATAAAACATAATGTTTATGTAAGTTAATATGTAATTATCTACAGTTATATATAATCATAGATAATTACATAACTTAAATACTGAATTCTAAAAACATTTGCTAACCATTTCTCCCTGACATAGAAGTTAATTCAGTTCAGTTTAGTTGTGACACACAGGGTTTTTAGAAAACATTTATAAGTCACACTTTTTAAATTTGGAAATCAGGATGCTTCTCATAATCAATATCCAAAAAATTGCTGGTTATTTCTCTTTTATACTGAAAAACTTACATTAATTATGTCTTACAACTAATTCTGTTTCATAGTTAAGGAAGTAGAAGATATTGTACTTCCATGTGTCTAGAGACCTTTTGTGGATATAAATGCCTATTACTTAATTAGCTTCCCTCATCTTCTGTGCATTTCATTTATTTATTTTTTGCTATGAAGTATTTATGAATGCTTATTCTACCTTAGTCATTAAATGCTGTGATGTAGAGGTCACAGACTTCTCTAATACTACTTTTTGTTTTGTTTTCAAAGGCCAAATTGTGAATGATGAACATGTATCTTAGTAAAAAATATATGGAAGCAATGATCTAATATATCCATAGCATTCTTGGACCAGCCTTGCTCCTCTGAATGAGAATCAGAAGATATAGCACTGAAATCACAAAAAGAGGTTCCAATTAAGAATAGGAAATTGTCTCAGAGGTGACTCATATTTAGTTCTTATACAAATTGACCTCTAACATGCCTTTTTTTCCTTTATTTTAAATTTCATATAAAGAAGCAAAACCAAATTAGTATAATATTATTTTAAGGTATACTTTAAAAAGGCCCTCAGTATTATGCCATCTTGACTTTTTATGAAATTAGCTGCCTAACTATTTGAAATATTTTCATTTATTCCATTACCTCTACAGAGAGAGATACACGCATATACATATGCATATAGAGGTGCAACGCATGTGAGCCCAGTGTCCCAACGTCTTTATATAGGGTAAGAGTAGAATCTGACTTCATAATGAGAAAGAGGAGTGGCCAGTAATACCATCTTCATGAAACCAAAAGATGTCCTAAGTGTTCCCTACCTAGCCACTTGAAGCTCTCTGCCACCACATTATCAGCCCTAGCCTTTCCTATACCCATTCTAGTACCATCAGACTGTGCAACTGATTCCTTTAGTCAGTCTGAAAATCCTTATTTTGCACTTCCCATCGGGTGGTGTGGTAGATCCCTGGAACTTAGAGATGAACCATGTTCTGCCTCAAGGTCAGCCTCATGGGGAGATGGACAAATAATAACCAGTAATATGTGGCACAGCAATAACAGAAAAACCACAGGAGCAGAGAAGAGGGTGGTCATTCTAACACAGCTTGGCCTAATAGGGAAGAGACGGGGTTTTGTCTTAAAAGAGCCAGTTTCTGGCCTGAGTGTAGAATATGAGTAGGAATTAACCAAGTAGCTCTGTTTGCATGTATTTCCTCTTCACTAGATCTCACATTCTGATATTTCAGATTTAGTCCTGGGCCTTCCTGCCTTATTTCAGTAGACTCCTCCCGAAGTAGTGTCACTGACCCCCAGGGCCTTAGGGCCATCTCTGTGTTAATTACTTCCAGGTAGACATCTGAGGGCAGGTCTTTCCTTTGAGCCTTAGTGGGGAGGTTCAAGGTATTTTGTGGCTGAGAAGGAAAAAGATATGACCACAAGGTGGCAGTAGCACACATAAACTTAATAGGGAGCTGCTTTGATAGGTTCTCTGGGAACGTCCCTCACAGCAGAAGGCTGTCCACAGACAAGGGCCCAGGGCTGCTAATCAGAAGGCGAGGAGGACAGGGGATCTCCTTGGCCGGGGGCGGGGGGCGGGGAGGGGAGGGTTGGCAAGAAGCTTCTGTGTGTAGGCAGTGTGGCTGTGGCTCGGCAGCCTGGCAGGCAGTCTTCGGGGTCAGAGAGCTCGGAAGGGCGGCCTGGGTTTGGAGTCTCCATGGCCCGGGGCTTATCCAGTGCTAGCCCATGTGGGGTGGGATTCTGCAGGATAATGCAAAATAGGCAGGCTCTAAAAGGCTGTAAAAATCTGCTTGTTTGGCCCATTTTAAAAATAAATCAATGTGGGGGCGCGTGGGTGGCTCAGTCGTTAGGCGTCTGCCTTCGGCTCAGGTCATGATCTCAGGGTCCTGGGATCGAGCCCCGCATCCAGCTCCCTGCTCAGTGGGAAGCCTGCTTCTCCCTCTC